TAAACTAGCATTTTAACACTGGGAATTATGATAATCAGGTTAGATAGGGTTTTACCCAAATTTTAGAACAAGCCAGTGCAGCTATCTCTATTCAAAGAGGAGGCAGTTGAGGTACAAAGAATTTTAAATTTTGCACAAAGCTTCACAGCAAGCTTGGATATGACCCAGATATTTCCAATGGAGTCATTAGCCAATTACAGTGTTGTTTGTGGCTACATAGGAGGTTTTATGTGCTATTGTCCCTTCTGGAGCTAAGGAGGAGAGAGTGTGTGGGTGTGGGTGGGGAACCAGGAGCTTGAAAGAAGGGATCTATAATCATCTCGTTTCCTTCTCTATTCTGTCCAGTTTCCCGTGGTAATTGCTTAGCAGCGAGAGTGCTGCAAGCAGCTCCCTGCTCCAGTGCCTTTCGCTAATCTTCTTGGGTTCCCTCTTTACCTTCTCTGGTGTCTGTGACTCCAAAGTGACATTGTAATTTCCTCACATCTCTCCCCCACTGGTTATTCTTCCCACTTGTCTCTTCTTCAGTGACTGACCTCTCCTTCTCTTTTTCTTTTTCCTTTTTTTCCTTCCCTTTTTCTTTCATGCTGTTCTTTCTTCTATAGGCTACAACCCTTTTCAGAGATTGTCTTGCCTTTCAGTTGCTTTTCATTCTTCCATGAGACCATGACCTCTGAGTGGGGACATCGTGTCCTGTTGGATCGCTGTGATGCTGGCTGAAGTCTCATACACAAAGTGGCAGCTGGTACCATGGACAGTGTCTTCATTAGGTTTTCTATTGTGATAAAATACTTGGAGCAACTTGGGGAGGGAGGGAAGGCTATATTTTGCTTCCACTTTCACGCCACAGTCCTTCATGGAAGGAAATCAGGGCAGGAACTCAAGGCAGGAACAGAAACAAAGACTGGAAGAATGCTGCTGACTGGCTTGCTCCATTTGGCTTGTTATGTTTATTTTTGTACATCTCCATACTACCCGTCCAGGAATAGCACCACCCACAATGGGCTGGACCCTTTGCCACCAATCAGTTATCAGTCAAGAAAATGCCCCATAGATTTGCCTATAAGCCAGTCTTATTGAAGCATTTTCTCAAGAGAGGCTCCCTCTTCTCAGATGACTCTGGCTTGCATCTAGTTGACAAAAGATCTGCTAGTACAGGCAGTATTTGCTCGAAAGCCATGAACCACAAGAAGGGAGTTCTTTCTAGTGGGGGTCTTCGACACCATTTTTTATTTTTTATTTTTTTATTGCTGTGGTAATTAAGTGAGCTGCTCTCTTATTAAGAGCTCTGCATGGGTATGCCTTTGGGGAACTGCTCAAATGTCTATAATTTTTTATAAGGTTTCCTTTGAAGCACCCCCCCACCCCCCCACCCCCTGGCCAGGTAACTCAGGTGTTTCTTAGGGGAGCGTCAACTTAATTATAAAATAAACATACTGTCTGGACCTAGCCATCTTTGATTTACCTCTTCTGAAGACACACTCTGGTCTTGCAGTCATAATCAGTGATTTCTCAGAAGCAGAAAAGGGCCTTTGTGAAGGACATCAAACCTGAATGGGAAGGCCTTTAGGTATTGCTGTCCTGACATTAGGAACATGAGGCCTTAGGTGACTCACTTGCCTGTGCATTGAAAATGGGGAAAGATGGCCTAGTAATAGAGGAAAAAACATTCTGAGAGCAGAGAGATAATAAAATCAAGCTGGTTTATGGGTTGTCAGTCCAAAAAGCTTTTAAAGCATGTCTAAAAGGTGGATGCACTTAATGTTTACTCTGCATGCAGGCCTCATTGTGTGATAAGGGGTATAAATTTAGCCTCTTTAAGTCTCTTCTCTAGGGGGCGAGATTTGAGTGTTGGAATGAACTTTATTTGAAAGCACTTTCAACTGGGCTTTGATTTGGCCCCTCCTTACCAAGAGAGGTGCCAAATGATGGCTGGCTCACTGTTCAGATTTTCTTTTTCTTAATTTACTTTATAAGCCATTTTCCTGCCCTCACCCTCCCCTCTCTATAGCTAACCATTCTCCTTAAGAGTAAAGTGGTATGAGAGGAGGAAAGGGGGAAAAAAACCAACTGTCACATTGTGAACGTAATTGATCCAATAAATAACAATTCCCAGGGCAAGCCTTGGAATCTTTATTTACGTCAATTAGTGGCCTGATACCTGGTGGAGGTCTCAATTTAGATGGATGAGACAGATTACTGGTTAGTTCTCTCTTCCCAAGGAAGAATATGCTTTCCTTGTTTTAAAGACATACTGTCTGGATGTGGGCAGCTACTCTGAAAAAAATAAAAGTTTGAAAAAAGAGAAAAGGATTTATGTGGCAGATTTTGTTCTTCCTGGAAACAGGAGGATATTTAATTATGGGGGGGGGGTGTTGGAAGAAGAGAAAATTGAAACAAGAAAAAAAAAATTCCTTGTAAATTCTCACAGGTCAGGGACATTTCCTTAACTGTTCATTATTTAATATCCAGTGCTCATAGTAGGCATGTGAAATATTAGTCAGATACACTGTTGTATCCCTGGTTCCCACTTCTTCCCCAGTGTTTTAGGAGACTAGTTTTTTTTTAAGATTTATTTTTAATTATATGTGTATGTGAGTGTATATGCGTGTGAGTGCAGGTGTCTGAGGAGGCCAGAACAGCGTGTAAGATCCCTTGGAGCCAGAGTTGCAGGAGGTTGTGAGCTGCTTGATGTGAGTGCTGGGCATTGAACCCAGGTCCCCTCCAACATGAGACTATTTTTAAAAGTACAGTTTGAGAGAACATCTCCAGGTATGATCATGGAGAGCTTGCTTCATCATGCCCAGACGGGCAAAGCTGGGTGGGTGGGGGGATCTTTAGAAATGTTACAAAGCTACTATTTACAAATCCTTGTACATTGCACTTCAAAATCTCATGAAGTGTATTATCAATGCAAAGTTTCAGGTCTTGGCACTGTAATTTTTCATGGAAGTCACTGTTGGGGCTGAAGAGTCTTTAATCTCTTGTGGATTGTCTTAGTTTGTTTGGTGTGCTGGAAATAGTTGGACTCACTTCTTGATAAAAGTGACCATCCTAAGGAACCCAGCTTTGGAAAGGCTGTGAGCTATAAATAGGGTCCAAGTCTCCAGGCTCAGATGACTATGTTGCTGGTCCTGTGGTTTGCTCTCTCAGTTGATCTGACAAGCCATGCTTTTTATCTTCTGTCACGATCCCTTAATACTGCAGCATTATTGGGGTGAGGACCCTGGCAGAACTAGAAGGACCTTCAGATTCATATCTCATTTGTTTTGCTGTGGTGCGAAAGATGTGTGTGTGTGTGTGTGTGTGTGTGTGTGTGTGTGTGTGTGGTGTGTTCATGTGGGTATCATATGGGCACACAAGGTTCACATGTGTATGCATGCTTGTAGGGGCCAGAGGTTGCTATTAGGCATCTTCCTTGATTGTTTACCACCATATCTTTTGAGATGGGTCTCTCATTTAACCTGGAGCCGATGGATTTGGCTAGAATGGCTAGATGACAAATTCCATATATCCATCTACCTGTCTCTGCTCTCTTGCCTCTCAGTGCTGGAAATGCAGATGTGTGGTTGACTTTTTAAGAGATGTGTTGGGTATTGAACTCAGGTCCCCATCTTTGCACGTCAAGCACGTTACCCATTCGGCCACTTCCCCAGCCCCTATTTTACTGTGTTCATGAGTGATGCCTTTGATCCCTTCCAATCCCCATCTCCTGGGTCACACAAGCACACAATCACACAAGTCCTTCTTTTGTAGGTCCACTCAGCATTGCCCATCCCTGCTTGGTCTTAAGGGAATCACATGAAAGGCTCTCAAAGATGCAGAACTCAGCAGCCCCACCAGAGTCCCATTAAATCCGTGTTTCTGGGAGTGGCCTGGGGAACCGTTTTAAAGTTCTTTTTGTTGTTGTTATTCTCAACATTTCCAGTCTCTGTGAACAGCGGTCCCCTTTCCTTCTGGATCTACCTTTGCGGTCTTTAAGACCTCATAATTATACCTCAACCCCATCTTTCTACCTGCAAGCTATTCTCTAGCCTGCAAAACTCCAAAGTTGGAGAGGAGTATCTGCCATCTTCTTTCCTCCAAGAGCAGGTGGTACGCAGGGTGATATGGGAAGTCAGGCAGTAAGTGGTGCAGAATACTGATGTGTGGGGCTGAAAGCAGGGTGGAGTGCCTGTGTGCTCTCCCTGGCATCAGGGCATTAGAGTTTGGGGCACGTACTTAAACCTCTTTGAGCATCTGTGTTGTAACTAGGAAAGCAGTGTTGTGTGTTATCAAACAAGGTGTCAGAGGTGGAGATTTGCATATGGAATGTATTGGAGAGGACTCTGGGGAGCTTCTCAGTGAAGAGGAGGAAGCAGGGGAAGCTGGCTGAGATACAGCTGCAGCAGAGGTCTCAGTTATCCCATGTGGGCAAGTGAGGGAACAGAGTCTTTCTATCTTTACACCCACCAATGACAGGATAAGCCCTAGCACCTGAGAGAGGGCATGACCTCAGGTGAGGATCTGCCTTGGCTGAGATGGCCTTGTGTGTGCAGCAGTCCATAATAGGTTCTTGTGGATGGGGGAAGAGTGCCTTCCTCTTGGAGAGCATCTCAATGGGGGAAGGCAGCACCTGCTGCCTGCACGAGCATGCATGAACCTTGGCAGTGAAACCAGCACCATAGTCAGCATTCAGCAAACATTTACAGTTACCATTATCCCAACTCTGGCAAGCTTTGCCACTTGTGAGACATTGCTTACCTTGGCTTGGACTGCTTTCTCATGTTGCAAGCAGATTCCAAACTCTGCTCTGCCTACCTCTGAAACAGCTTTGAGAACATGTGGAGAAAGCAGAAGGAGGGAGTGAAATATTACAAAAATGTCAGGGATGACTGAGCCCACTTTTCTTGAATGAATATATGGTTGGGACCCGATTTCCTGTAGGGAAAAAGGTTATGATAAATGTAATGGTGCTTGTCTATGAAAGATGGCATTTTGATTTTTCTTTCTTTTCTCCATAGGGAATTAGAATAATGGAGATGCTGCTAAAGGAACAGTGTGGTTCCCCCTTAGTGGAATAAAGAATCATCAGTGAGTATCAAAAGCAAAATCAGAATTATTTGCTCGAGCCATGTTTTCATGCTTATAAACCTGACATTATGAATCAACCTCCCTGGGCTATTCATGCTGTACGTTTCCCAGTGATACCCATAGAATACTATTTCACAGGCATTTTGTTATCTGCTCAGCAGCTTTATTTGCTTAGCTCTCTGATTTTCAAAGCAGTTTTGTACTGTGCGCTGAGTTACAACTGCTTTCAAATTGCTAAAACTGTTCAGTATAATCTACACTGATTGAGGCCCTTGAGGTGGCAGATTTGTAAAGGCTGTTCTCAGGATTAACTGAAGCTTAGTTATTGTTCTCAGAACAGTAAGAAGGGAGACTTAAAGCTGTAATTGGGGCAGGAAGGATCACGAGAAAGGAATGTGTTGGATTGGTCATTAAAACAAATACGTCTTACTAGTCTAGAAACTAATCCCCAAGACCAAAATAGGAAATTCTCCCAAGTATGCAACTTCCTGAATGCTGACCTGAAGTGATGTGTGACAAACTTTATGCCTGACCTTATGTGTTGGGTGGCAGTCCAAACAAGGTTAACTGAAAGTATTTTATGTAGATTAACTTCAGATTATGAGTATACAGCATATATGAAAAGGAAATGAATTTAGTGTTTACACTTGGGCTCTGATATCCCAGGAAATCTCATCATGTATGTGCAAATATTGCAAAAATATGAGAAATTTCCTAATCCAAAATACTTCTTATCCAGGCAGTTTGGATAAGAGATATGCAAAAAACGTACACTTTACACCTCCTGAAATGCTGTTCTGAAAGAATCCCAGTTTTTGTAATAATTCCTGAGCTCTGGCTTGAGTGCCTTAAGCAATTAGGAGTGTTCATCATGGGCACAGACTAGCAATTCAAAATTACTTATGGCCAGCTTAAAAGGACACTCTACACATGGTTTTCTATAAACAATCTGATGTTTTAATTGTGGTATACAATGAACTGTGAGAGCAGTTAACCAAAGAAGAAATGATAGGACCATTCACATACAAGTACCTTGAGTTTCAAAGCATGCCAGCCATGCCTCTGAATGTACACTAGTTGGAGAGTTGCATTTCTGTTTATTTGCAAGTTGAACTCCCTCCATTTTGAGTACTTAGCTGTATACACTTGACATATAGTAAATTTCAATGTTCCTGGAGGGCTAAACAAGATAATTTCATTTAGAACAGGCATGGCACATGGTAGGTGCTCATAAATGCTAGAATTGAATATAAAGATGGTTTGCTCCTTTAGCCACCCTGTTCCTTAAACAAATTATAAGGAACCTGGCTACATCCCCCTATTTTTCTAGGCTGGCATATTTGTGAGGTTCACTCTATTAGTTACTCTGCTCACTATGTGATAAAATACCTCAAAGAAAGAAGCAACTTTAAGGAAGACTGGTTTAGTTTTAGGAAGGGATGGAATACAGTATGGCGGCGGCAGGATTGTAAGGTGCCTAGCCATATTGCCTTCACAATGGGGAGCAGAGAGATGTGAATGTTGGTGCTCGTTCAGTTTTCTTCTTTTTCCATTTATGTTGAATTCAGAATCCCAACCCATGACATGCTGAACATGTCTTCCCTTCTTGGATACATTTCTCTGGAAATATTCTCACAGATTCACCTAGAATTATATCCCTCCAATCCCCTCTGAATACAGTCAGTTGAAAATGAAGACATCTATCCTCTGTCAACCTGACACCCAGACACCTTGAACATTCTACCCTTTGTCCTGAAGACCTCATGGCCATCTCATAATAATAATAATAATAATAATAATAATAATAATAATAATATCTTCTAAACACATCTCATAATGTAATAAAAGATGCTAACCAAAAGAAAAAGTAGCTCCTGATGGGTCTTATTGACAGATAACAAGGAAAATAATAACCACATAGTAGATACCAAGAAATGTATCCATCTATTCAAGCAAGGCAACGGCAGCTTGTACAACAGGTATGATTAGAGTCCCCAGTTGGTCACAATAATTCTCCAGTACCCACCTATTTTCTGCACAGGCCTAATAGACTGAAATGGAGATATGGTTGGAGCCACCACCCCTGTGGCCTTGATGGTGGCTCTCATCTTCACAATCTCTCCAGGGATTCAATAATGGCTTTGCTTTGCTGTAGTCCCAGGTAGAGGCATCTCTAATGGCTTCTATTTGGCTGCTTCAATCTTAATAGAGCACACTCTGACTAAGTACTAATGTGCTTGTGCACTTGGGCACTGATCCCGACTCACCCAGGGAATGAGATCTGAAGGCAGCTCTAAGTTATATGAGGAAAGGCATATGCCTGCTGCTAGTTTCCATATGTGGTCTTGAAATTTTAGTGAATGAACATCAGAACATCTAGAGGATTTAAAGTGTAGATTATTGGGCCTACTCCTGGAGTTCTGGTTGACTAAGTCTTGGGGGTGTGGGGAGTCTCCTGAGCTCATCTTTGGGTAGAGATGATGGAGGTGGTCAGTGCTAGGACATCAAGAAGGCAGATAGCTGGGCTCTCAGCATTTTTTGTGTATATGTCTATCTGTATATCAGTTATCAGAATGGTTTCATCTATATTTTCCACAGAATTGTTCACCAAAGCCTCTTCTTGCATTATCTATCTATCTATCTATCTATCTATCTATCTATCTATCTATCTATCCATCCATCCATCCATCCATCCATCCATCCATCCATCCACCCACCCAGTATCATCTGAATGTATCTAAGCTCCAGGTTAGAGCAAACTCAACTGAAAACAGGGATAAAGACAGTTTGGGTTTAAAGTATTGTTAGTAAAGATGAGTAAATTTAAAAAGTTTACGGTGTGGCCTGTTGTCTTTCATCCATGTTCAGGTGTGGCCCATGTGGCCCAGAATAGCTATGAGTACAGATCAGCACAAAATAATAAACTGATTTAAAGTACTTTGGAGATTATTGTTGTTGTTGTTGTTGTTACTATTATTATTATTATTATTATTATTATTATTATTATTTTGGCCTGAGTATATGTTGATCACACAGTTCTCCAGTATGAATTTTGTAGATGAAAATGTTTTTGCAGTATCAAGAGGTGGGACACTTGGATGCCTGTTTCTTTTTACCATGTGACACTAACCTATGACTTGGGCTTTTCCGGTGTATGAAAAGCAGCTTACTCCATCTCAAGTGGTTAAGTGGTGGAGGTCTGCATAGTGCCAGACCTTCAGAGTAAAACAGTAGCATTCGGTGCCACAGAATTCCTGTGTTCTATGCATAGAGCAAGCTGTCATAATTCATAACCCATTTTCTCAATGGAGTAAATGTAAAAGGAAAGGATATATAGTCTTCATATGCATCTACAATTACTATTACTATAAATTAAAGACTACTATTTAAGCTGTTCCAATCAACCCCATTGAGTTATTATTTATATGCAACTAAATTTCTGATTAGTCTTGTTGATTTTGTAGTATATGATTTTGTGGAGTATAAATAAATAGTTCTGTAGTCATCACTACAAATCAGAATCGAAAAAAATTTGAGGCTTTGATGTTGTAGCCCAGCTACAATCTTATTCTCTACCTTTCCCATCTTCTTGACAATTTTTATGAAGTTTTTGTGGTTTGAAGTGCTTCTGTCTTGATGGAACCTTTTTCCTTTCTCAAAAATAGCTTTATGAAAAATAAGTTGTAGGTGGGGACTATACTGTTCTTGAATAGTAAGATGATAAATTTAAATGGAAAGGGGCCAGCATTAGGAAGGCTGGGGCAGGATTGCTGAGAGTTTAGCAGCAGCCTGGGCTATGGAGTGAGACTTGTTTCAAAACAAAAAATAGCGTCTTAAAAGATGGCTTATTGGGAGAAGGTGCTTTCTCTCAAGCCTGGTAGAATGAATTTAGTCTTGTGGACTCAGGTAGTAGAAGGAAGATACTAACTCCTATGACCTCCACACATGTGTTGTTTATACACACAGACACACACAGACATGCAGACACACACACACACACATACACACACAGACATACACACACATACACACACAGACATACACACACACACACACACACACACACATACACACACAGGCAAATAAAATAAAAAATAAATAAAAATATAATAATAATGGGTCAGAGGGACCACACAGAGAATAGGGTTCGGAAATCTCTGGCCATAAGCTGCATCCATGCCTCTGCTTTTTATATAAATAAAGATTTATTGGAACACTGCTGTGCTCTTGGCTATATTCAAAGCTGCAACAGCAGACTCAAATATCTTTGACAGAAATCTTGTAGCCTTTAGAGCTTAAATTATTTACTTTATTCTCTTTTTGTTGTTTGTTGGAAACAAGAAGGGCAAAGTTTATTGTCTCCTGAGTTAGTTTCATAAATTAACATCAAGGATTGTGGTGGTGATTGTGTGGCCTATTAAAACTGTGACATGGGTCACATCATGCCTCTGCTCTGTCTTATTTGACAGTTTATCTCCTCTGCATTTGTGCTACAACCTTCTTTTGAAGACTTGAATGATGCTATCTTAAGGCATGAGGAGACATTTAAATGCTGACAATTAAATGTTGAAATTAATAGTACCATCAACAGTGGTCACTGATGTCACCAGATAGATCCAGTGTCCATATAAGAGAAATACAGGCATTCTGTTAACATGGACAATGTCACTGTATCATGGTAATAGTATGGGCACTGTTTATAATTTAATTGATATACCAACTTTGGAATTTTGCAACTTGCCATTTTCTTTTGTGTTTTGCATGTGTGCATATATGTATGTATGCATTTATATGCATAACTGCAGGTATGTGTGTGTAAGAGAGAGATGAAAGGGAGGGAGGGAGGGGTGATAATGAAGTATTGATTCTTGTACCTTATTCAAGACAGGGTCTCTTGCTTTATTTCTGCTGTGTATGCCAGGCCTGGGAGCATCTGGGGAGTTTCTTGTGTCCCTTTCCAATCTTGTATGAGGTGTGAGTGCTGGAATAATAGATGCACGTGCTATTGTGTTTAACTTCATGTGGTTTCTGGATATTTGGACGCAGGACCTCATGATTGTCACATGCCTTTAGTCGCAGAATTTAAGGTACAGATTTCTGTGAGTTCCAGGCCAGTCAGGGCTAACTCTTCCCCCCCAAACCCACAAAACAAAACAAAACAACAACAAAAAAAAAAAAGATTTAAATTCATGTAACATCTGCCTACATTTTTCCATGGTACCTAGCATCAAAGAAACATCTGTGAACTCCCTGACCTATGTGTCCAAGTGGGCATTTGAAAATGGAGAAACCTTAGAAGGTAATTTTCTCATGGATCAAAATGGAGGAACATAAATCTCACTAACCAGTATGCTTGTGGCGTTGCTGCTGACACATCTATTTGATGGATTTTTGATTTCCTGTCACTTTTGAACAAAACAAATAGCCCTGACATCTGTTTGTTCTTGCCACTGGCATTGGGGAGACTGGCCCGGTGAGGTTGGATAACATAGTAGAGTCTATCTCGTCGGAATGATTAAGAGCTCACTTGTAACTCTATGTTTAGCTCCACTCTGAACCAGCTCCTCTAGGTAGCTGGACTTAATAAAATGAGGTGCTTGCTTCGTTCAAAGATCATTAGGAGGTAGGAATGCAATTTCTTCAAGAATTATCCATAGTGAGAGAATCCAAGTGACTCTTGGGAGCTGCTTCAGAAAAGCAGGCAAATACGTATTGATTGGTGAGACGTGTTTATTAGGTGATAAAACCTATTTCTTTCTCTTGCAGGGAAGCTGCTGCTGTGTCTACTCTTTTTGAGAATCACTTCTTGACCACGGCATCATAGGCACAATTACTGGATCCAAATTTCAGGTGACAGAATCGGTGGGTTAGAGAAGAGGAGCCCTTCCTGCTTGGTGCACAGCATTGACACCCACTTTGGAGCCTGCTTGAAATCATGGGACTCAAGGAGATGAGATCTTTTCAGCTGGAATTTTATGACATGATCTCTTTACAGTCTTATGAATAAAGGGAAAGGATATAGCAGACAATATCTATGCTTCCTCAAGGTGTTTTGCTGATTTTCTGTGATGGTGCCAGGGCAGCCAAGGGCAGAATGAAGGCCTGGGGGGTGGGGGCATCTTTTGCTCATTGGCTGTCAGCATCAGTGTTCATGGGATCTAGGAGAGGATTCTGGAACACATAAAGAGGTCCATCCTGGTACCTATTTCCAGAGAGATGGAATAGAAAGGCAATGTGCCAGAACTGTGGTGAAGATAAGCCACATGTATACCATGGTCAGCACACCAAATAGATACGTGGTCAGCTAAGCCACATGGATGGTTACATGGTCAGCTAAGCCACGTGTATGAATGTTTGAGATTCTCAGAAGTGACTACAACTTTTAGGAGGTAACCTGTCAACTCTGGCTTGTTTCTCTGCAAGAACATGGAGTGAAGAATATAAGGCAGGGTCTGGCTGTGGCTCCCAATAACATGTTCTGTAATGTGGCACAAACTATACAAATCTGTTTTTGACTAGTAAAGTGGAAGTAATCAGGCATGGTTCTTTCTGTCTGTCAGTTTAGCTTGAAGAGCACAGATTTAGGGCCAGTCAGATTGGTGTGGATTAAATCCAGTTTCTGCCAACGATTATTTAGTGGGTGTTCATACCATTTTTAGCATTTCCAAAGCTAATTTAAATAAAAACATGTGCAATGAGGTAATGGCTCTAAATGATGCTATTGGACTGACCTAAGATGGTTTATAAAACTATTACATAGGATCCATTATTATGTGTGATGATTTTTGAGCATATGCTTTTCTTCTGTATTCTTTCTTTTTATATCCCCCCCTCCAACTTTTTTTTTTTTTTTTTTGAGACAGGATTTGGTGTAGCGTAGGCTTGCCTCCAATCTCAAATTCTATGTCTCCCAAACTGATCTTGAACTCCTGATCCTTCTGCCTCTGTCTCCAGAGTGCTGGGGTGACAGGTGGGTTCTGAGAGTTGAACTCAAGGTCTGTGCATGCTACAAACACTGTACCGATGGAGCTCAACACCCAGCCTTAGCATCTGCTCTTCAGCTGTGATGTAGATGGGATTAGTGTTAGAAACTTAGATGACATTACTTTGCATTTTCCGTGATGAGAAAGCCAAACCGTAAATGCATGCCATTTAACAGAGAGCTTGAAAGGAAGTAATAATTTGAAATGCATCTTAAGATAAAAATTAGGCCATTATTGAAAAGACTTAAGGCAATTGTTCTTTTTTTTTTCCTCTTCTACTATTTGAAAAATTTTTTTCTGCTTAGTACATTGATGAATTTCAAAGCAATTGTATTTTTTCATACAAGCCTGCCACCGTGAGCCTCCTCTTATTGTGTTGAAGCTATTTGTGCTGTTTGAGTTTTGTCTCTTGGGATAATTTCCCTTCATTTCCTTAGCATTTTACTCTTCCGCTGTGTTGGAGGGAAGCTGAATGGTAGAAGTCAGAGTGTATTTTGACCTTGTTTTCCAGTTAGTAAATGGCACTGGAACAATTTTCCTTTTCCAAAAGTAAGTGCATTATTATGGATGAGGGCAGCAAGAAATTTTTACTTGGGGAAGGTTGACGTTGGAGTAAAAACAGCTGTCTGCACTGCAAAGCTCACAGAGCCATAGTTCTTGTCCTTAACTACCGGTTAGGGTTGCTTGGGAGACTGCATTCCACCTCACAGTGTAGGGTGCAAGGTGTCCAAGAAGTCTGAGTCTCTCACTGTGGAATCCTAGCACTACCTGTAAAGTTCCTGAGGCGTGCCCAACATCTGAGCCATTTGCATACATTATCTGATTTCTTCCTTCTTATTTATTTCTTACTCATTTATTTTAGCTAGGATCTCACCATCGCACCCCAGACTGATCCAATACTTTCTGTGTACACCAGGCTGACCTCCAGCTTGTAGCCGTTGTCCTGTCTCAGCCAGTTCTTGATTTCTTCCTAACCGTACTAGGCAGGAAAGAGTCTTTGTGACAGGAATTTTCACTAAGAGAGTGAGGCTGAATTTGTGCCAGATTCCTTGAAGCTGGGATGGCTGGTGCAAAAATGTGCGGGTCCTGACAACTGTTGTGGTGAGTGCAACAGGCTGAGGCCACTGCGCATGCCTGACTTGAGGTCAGGGAGGGCTGCCGCTAAGCCCCAGCTACTGTGGCTGGCCACATGGCTGCTTTGTGTAGTTCTTGGCAATGTTCGCCTTTCCAGGAAAGGACAGAGGAGGACGAGGATGGGGAGGAGGAGAAACCTTTTAACTTTTATGTGTCAACAACAAATCCCGAACTTCTCAGACTCTTTTGTTTGCCATGCATGCTTGCCAGCCAGTACTCTTGAGCCCACGCCTCTAGATCAGTGGTTCTCAACCTTCCTAATGCTGCCACCCTTTAATAAGTTTCCTTATGTTGTGGTGACCCCCAACCTTACAATTATTTTCCTTGTTACTTCATAACTTGTCATTTTGCTACTGTTACGAATAGTAATGTAAGTATCTATGTTTTCTGATGGTCTTGGAGGTCTCAACTCACAGGTTGAGAACCACTCTAGCAACTACTTGGGGTGGCTCACAACCATGTCTAACTCCAATTCTAGGTGGTCCGGTGCTCCTTTGTGGACTCTGAGGGCACTTGGCACCCATGTGCATACCTCTTCAACACAGAGTTGAAAAAAAAAAACTTAACTAAAAATAAAATATTTATAATAATAATAATAATAATAATAATAATAATAATAATAATAATATTACAGAGCTGGGGCTGGAGAGATGGCTTAGTGGTTAAGAGTTCTTTCTGCTGTTCTAGAGAACCCAAGTTCAGTTCCTAGCAACTACATCAGGAGGCTCCCAACCTGCTGCAATTCCAGCTTCAAGGGATCTGATGCTCTTTTCTGGACTCTGAGAGTTACCAACATACATATGACATCCACTCACACAAACACATATATACACAAAGGAAAAATAATAAAAACAAATCCTTAAAAGTCATTATCTCTTTAGAATTAGGATTTCTTTTTACCTTTTTAAAATTTACGTATGTATTATCAAAGTGTGTATGTACTTGGTCATCTACTGAGTTGGATGAGACATGTCAAAGTCAGTCAGTAGTATGGCCTCGTTGGACACATTGGGCACAAGAATGGGGAAGGTTCATTCACAGACCTGGCTAGCTTCCTGCCTGCATCACTGAGCCTGCCCTTCAGGGTGACATTGTACTGTGTCAGACACCCCCAGAGCTGTCACAGTACAGTGCAGGCTCACCCCCTCTCCCACAGACTCTGATTCTGGTAACATTCAGTTGGGATTCTGGATTTACATTTTGCAGCAAATTCTCTGTGACATTTGTGGTCCTGTAGCACAGTCCACACTTTGAAAAAAACAGGTGTGTATGCAGGATGGGGAGTGTTTTGGTCTTCATGTCTCCCGCTATTTGAGAAGGGTTTGCATCATCTGGGTCCACTGATCAGTGCATATGACCGACCACTCGGAATGCAGTGTTTCTATAAAGAAGGAAGCTAGCTTGAGTAGCTTTCACCAGGAGGGCTCTTAAGTTTTCAGTTACTGGGAAAGACATTGTGTTCTTTTCATATGAATTACTTTGCCCATTTTATAGGCAGTGCCCATGTATGAATGAATATCATATTTCCCAGACATTGTGGGGGGCATATAGTATACACAACTGGAGGCCATTCTTGTAAACTCCACATCTTTCTCAAAGATCATTTACATCGCCCCCCTCTCCAGTTCTGGACATATTTCTTGCTTTTGTAAATGAAATTTGTCGAGGAAGACTCCTTTATTTTCTTTTTAACTCTTTTGGGTTCCACTCAAGTTTGTGAAAGCCCCTGTCTGATGAGTATTTGCTCTTTGGATTTTAGGGTGCCTTGTGAGTTTTCCTTTCCCTCACCATTCCCTGTCACGGTTTCTATGTTGGCCTGTAGCAGCCTTCCTCTCATTTTCCAGGGGTTTGGGAACTCATGTGACAACACAGTTTGTGTCGAGTAGCAGCGAACAGTATCTGACGAGGCTCTGAAAGCTGCCTTGCTCATATTAAAATGAATGAACATGGCTGCCATGGTTCGGGACATTATGTCAGTGGTTTTCCTGCCTGCAGCCATAGTTGTCAGACTGTGACCTCAAGACAGGCGAGATGTGGCTCAAACTCATTTCTCTTGCTGTAAAAACCCATGTTTCCCTAGCTGTGTTTGTATTTCCGTATGTGCTCTGCTCTATAATGGGAGACAACTTGGATTTAAATCCAAATGGAAATGTCTCCAACTAGGATTTTGTACAGGATAAAGAGTTTTAAAGTCAGTGCTACTGTGAATTAGGGCTATGAAATACTATCCTGTAGAAATAAAGTCATTTTTCCCCCCAGTGGGTATTTATGGGTAAACACTACTGTAGTTTTTCTGTCAGCTTAGCAGCTGCAAATGAATCTACCAATATTTTAATTACAATCTGAGGTCTCATAGCCGTACAGCCCCACAGCTGTGCTTAGAAGGCCTTCCTGTCCCGAACTTTGACTCTGCCTTCGGTGCAGTAAGTAGGTTTAAACTAAGCCTCTAGTGTTCTATTTCCCAACAAAGACTCAGAAGTCAGATGTGAGGGTGAAACCTTGCTAGATCAGAGAAACCAAGAAGCAACCAGCTGACCTTAATTTTGGCTGGAGACACCCTGAAAACCAAAAAACTGTGCCAAACTGTAGCCCTGCCCTTTCTTCCTGTACATCTTTACCAACATTCCTGGCTTCTCTATGGTTGATTCCCATCAGCTAGTCACTGGCTCTGCCTCCAGATTCAAGATTTAACTTTATGGGCAGTCTCGGGAGTGTGGGGCTGCCATCAAAATATCCCACAACTCACTACTTTCATGGGGATGTCACATCTCCCAGCACAATCCGTGTTTAGTGGTTGTGGTAGCAATTCTGGTTTTGCCTTGTGCTTCAGATGAAGGTGGCAGGATGTTCATTCCTGTCTCCCTCAAGGGGAGCAAGTACAATTTCTCTGGTGTATAAAGAGAG